TGATCCATCTGCTCAAGTGTCACCAGTTCATTTGCTTCCTGACCCAGAAACTGTTCCACATGCGCCATCAGTGGCAGGAACTTTGGGACATTCTGCATCTCCAGAAGGTACTCTAGGATATTCACCATCTGTCCACAGTGCTGAGGGGGCCTCACTGTCTTCTCAGGGAATGGTAGAACGGCCCCTATCTTCCCAGGGAATGATAGATCACTCAGCATCTTCTCAAGAGTCTCTCAAACCTTCCATGCCAGACAAAGTGGACCAAGTAATTTCACCATCTGCTCAAAGGGATTTAGGAACTTTTCCATCCACTCAAGGGCTGGTGAGACCCTCACAGTCTGTCTCCATTTCTCTGAATCCCATCTTCCCCAGAGGCTCTGGCATTTTCTCAGTCTTCCCAGAGCTCTCTAGGACATGTGACATCTAACCAATGGACCTTAGAAAACTGTCTGTCTTCGCTAGAGACTGGAAGTCTTTACCAACTACTCAATCCAGTCTGGGACATTCCTCTTGTGAACAAAGTGCTCCAGATCAGGAGGCATCTGCCAAACGGGCTCGTGGGCCTGACACATCTACACCAGGAGCTGTAGGGAATTCGTCATCTTCACAAGGGTCTTTGGATTCCACCCATTCTCCTCCAGGGCCTCTAGAAATGGACATGCTTACTCAAGGGGCCACTGAATCTTCACCATCTGCTGAAGGTGCTCTTACAAGTTCAACAAGTACACAAGTAGCTTTAGCAGCTTCCCCATCTACAGACAGTGGTCTGAGAATTTCCCCATGTACAGAACAGGCCCTGGGAACTCCTGAACCTAAACAAGAGGCTGGGGAGATGACCCCACCTTCACCAGAGGTTGTGAGATCAGGAACATACACAGCAGGGGCTATCCAATCTTCCTCATCTACTGAAGAGGCACCTGGAATGTCCACATCTATTCAAGGGACCTCAGCATCCGCCCATTCTGAAAAAGGAACTTTAAGAACACCATCATCTACAAAAGGGGACCTGGGACACTCCCAGTCTGTCCAAGAGACTCAGGAAGCATCTTCTTCTGCAAAGACGCTGCTGGGTGAGGATAAATATGCAGGCCCCATCATTTCCAGTTCTACGAAAATGAGATCAGAACACACTCCCTCTGCACAAGGAAGCCTCATGTCTTCACCACTATGCCAGGATGTTTTCGAACATTTGGTTTCTGACAAAAAGGACCCAAGCACTACTCCCCACAGGAGCCTCACACGTTCTCCTTCTCATGAGGCTCTACTTAATCTGCTATCTGCTCCAATGGCATTGGAAGTATTGGCAACTGCCCAAGGGAATGTGGGGCCATCACTATCAGCCTAATGGGATCTAGGACTGTCCACCCCTGCTAAAGGTAGCTTAGGTGGTTTCGAACATTTGGTTTCTGACAAAAAGGACCCAAGCACTACTCCCCACAGGAGCCTCACACGTTCTCCTTCTCATGAGGCTCTACTTAATCTGCTATCTGCTCCAATGGCATTGGAAGTATTGGCAACTGCCCAAGGGACTGTGGGGCCGTCACTATCAGCCTAATGGGATCTAGGACTGTCCACCCCTGCTAAAGGTAGCTTAGGTCTTATCGATTCTGGTAGGACTGTCCAGCCCTGCTAAAGGAAGCTTGGGTCTTATTGATTCTGGTAAAGAGGGACACAGACATTCATCTCCCCAAACGGGCTCCAGATATTCCACTTCTACCAACATGAGATCCAGGCATTCCCCATATGCTCAAAGGGGCTTTAGAAATTCCCCATCAGAGGAAGAGTGCTTAAAAACTTTGGGTTCTTCCAAAAAGGACCCCAGAGACAATACTAGTACCCAAGGGAGCCTCACAGTGTCCACATCTCTCACAGAAGACTTAAGAAGTTCTCCCTCTCAAAATGAGAACCTCAAAAGTTCTCTCTCTTAACAAAGGGGCCAGAGGCATTCTCGCTCTCAGAAGGAAAACCTCCAAATTTCTTCCTCTCACCAGGCGGGCTGTAAGCATTCTCCCTCTCATAAGGAGACCCTCCAAAGTTCTTTTGATCCCCAGGGGGGCTATAGGCATTCTCCCTCTCATGAAGAGAACCTCCAAAATTTTTTCTCTTCCCAGGAGGACCGCAGGCATTCTCCCTCTCATAAGGAGAACCCCCAAGTTCTTCCCCTCACCAAAGGGGCCATAGCCATTTTCACTCTCATAAAGAGATCCGCCAAAGTTCTTCCTCTTCCCAGGGGGGCCATAGGCATTCCACTTCTAATACATGTACAACATATGGGCCCACTGAAGAAGTGTGTTTAAGACCGATTGCCCCACATGAATTGGGCTTAAGGAATGTACCCTACTGGCAAAAAGGCCACAGAATTCCAAGGTCTATGTATAAGAAATTTCAACAAGATCTTGCTGAACAAGCGTCCATGAGACCTAGCTGCACTCAGGAAGAAGGCCTCAGAAAATCCCTGTCTCCACCACCAGGCCACAGACAGCCCACTTCTACCAAATTGAGATTGAGGCAGAAGACCTGTGTTCAAGAGGGTTTAGGGTGTTGTCCATCAAAGGAAGAGAGGTTCGCTCCTTCCTCCTCTGTGAAGAGGGGTACCAGATCTTACCCCTCTGAACAAAGCGAGACAAGCCCTACCACTACTTCCCAAGGGAACCTCAAATCTTCTGAGTCGACAGAAGGGGACTTAGGTGACACTTCCTCTCATTATGAATGCCTCAGTTGTTCTGATTCTCCACAGGGATCCCTCAGACAATCCAAATCTACCAAAAGCAGACATGTCTCCTATTCCCAAGGGAAGATCAGTCCTTCCCCTTCAGAAAAAGAAAGCAACAATCCTTCTACTTCAGCCGAAGATTCTCCCACATGGACATATTTAAGGGAACCTGTCTACTATACATATGCATGTCTCACACATTCCCTCTATTACCAAGGGCGCCTCACACACACTGAAAGCGCCAGTTCCAGCTTGGATTCTTCTGTCCTGGGAAGCCACAGATACACTCACAATGTCCAGTGTAACTTGAGGAGGACCCCACTTGAAAAGAGGAGATGCACACCTTCCCTCTGCCCTCAAGGAGGCCTCGAATCTTCTCAATACGATGAAGCGAACCTTAGATTTTCCCAGTCTGAACAAAGGGGCTGCAGACAGGCCTCCTCTAAACACCTGGATTTCAGACATACTCCTTATAACCACGAGGGGTTCAGAAATTTCTGCTCTGATCCACGCTGTGTCAGACATTCGACTTGTACCCAGAGGAGCTTCATACATGTCTTTTACCCAGAAGGAGGACCCACATCATCTGGACCTGTCCGTTGGGTCCTCTACCATGTACCAGATCAAGAAAGGAGTATGAGACCCATCCCTTCATATCAAGGGGACTTCACAAATTCTTCCACAAATGAGAGCCTCCCGCTTTCCCACTATTACCAAAGGGGACTCAGCTATACACCATCTGTACACAGGAGGTTTGGGTCATCCCTCTCCTATCAAGAATGGGTTAGACTTTCAACATCCACCCAGGGGGGGCTCAGATTTTCTTCAGGAGGAGGCTTCTTTTGACAAAGAGTCAGTCAGAACTCCCCGCTCTAATTAAGGGCAGGGCAGGATATAATTCTGCCCATGGGGCCTTCAGAAATACCCCATCTGCTGAAAGAATATCAATATATAACCCCTCTAACTAATGTCATAGTAGACCTATTTCATCTCCCCGATATGTTGACAGATCCACGCCTTCTTCCCAGAAGCTCTGACTGCCTCCCCTTTAAACCAAGTGGGGCTCACATCCATACTCTCTCACCTCCAGGGCCTAGACAATGCCCCTTCTGTTGAAAGGAAGCAGAACTCATGCTTGTCTGAGATCCCAGAGCTTCAGAGTACCCAGAGGAGGTAGTCACAGAAAGTTGAGAAGATTCTAGACCTTGATGACTTCCCAAAGTGACCTTACATGTTCTAACTTGTGCCCAAGGGAGTCTTTGACCCCCTTACTTTCCCAATATGGCCTAGGACTTTCCACCTTGTAGAACAGTTTCGTGGGCCTCCCTGATTTGCCTGAGGAAATCTCATCAATTACCATCTTGACTAAGTGGCATCAGAATTGCCTTTCTGACAAAGCAAACCTTACACCTTACACTTCAAAAGCCCAGGGTTCCAACCTTTCCCAAAGACCAAGGGTGCCCCAATCCTATCCCTCTGGCAGAGGCATATCTCACACCTTTCCCCAAAGACTCAAGAGCATCTCAGGCATAGCCTTTAAAACCATGGAGCATCAAATCTACCCCAGTGGTCCACTAGACACACACCTTTCTCTCCAGAATCAGGGGGGCTCACACAATCCCCAACAACTCAAGGCTGCCTCAGACTTATGATGCCAGAACCAGGGTACCTGACAAAATCCCCCAAGCATGAAGGAGACTATCAAACAGGCTGCTTCAGAGAGGGGCCTCAGCTCTTTTGCGGTAGCCCAAAGGGCTTCAGATCTACCTCTTCAGAGCCAGAGCTTCGATCCTTAGAATTCTGTCACGGAGACATCACAGGTGCCACAGCTGATCCAGGGGCCACTGAGACCTAAGAAGTTTCACACATTCCAATCTCTGCTCGGCGAGTAGGAATTTCCCTCTAAGACACCACGACCACATACATGCCCCCGAAACCCAACTGGACCTTAGAACATGCCTCTATGTGCAAGACGGCCTAGATATGCTTCCTCTGAATGAGAGGAGCAGACTGCCATATCCTATCAAAAGGAACTTACCACCACGAAGGTACCAGAATTTCCACTATTGATAAAGGATGTCAGATCTATTCCCTGTTACCTAGGGGCCCTAAACTTTCACCTTCAGAGAAAGGAAGATTAGACTTACTACTTCTGCACAACTGGTCATGAGACCTCACCCACTAAGCATTCCAGCTTAGACCATTTCCCAAACAGAGCTTTACACTTCTTTTCTCTAACCAGGGCAGACTTAGAGCTTCATGCTTTGTCAAAGGGATGCAGCTATGCGGGAACTTTAGACATTCCCTTTCTTGAGCAAGCATGACCCAAGGCATAGTTCTCTTGTAGGAGATTAAATTACAGACCCTACTCTCTAACTGAGACTCCTCAGACATTCACTCCCTGCTCAAGGGTTCTTTAGACTTACCCTCCACGACGAAGGAGACTTAAGAGCTTACCTTTTTGTTCATGGTGGCCTCACACAAACCCCTTCAACTAAGACTCAGGTGCTTTTCCATCTGATGTGGGGATGGGGGCATGGAACCACAATTTTGACCGAAAATACCACAGAGCACTCTAGATTGCAGTTCTATGGCAGGGGATTAAAATCCTCAGCCAGGGAACACAGGCCATCTAATTCTTAGCTGGTCACCAGTACTTAGGAGGAATCCATTCTTAATGACAACACCTGTGCAGTTGAGCATAAGCAGCTGATAGAGAGCCAGACAGGAACATCCAACCTACTAGAAGAATGCTCAGATTGCTGCGAGATACGCAATGGGATTCTCGAAGATACCAATTTTCCTGACTTCAATGAAGATGTGGAAGATGACAAGACATTTCCTGGGACGTCTTCCTCTACAGAAGGTAGGCAGGAACAATCCCCCTATGCCTAATATAGTCTGTGAATTTGCTTTGTCCAAAGTTCCCTGGTACTTTCTCTCTGTGATCATTGGGGTCTTACAAATTTCCCTCTGACTCAAAGAACTCTCATACCTGCCCTGCTTATAAGGGGAACCTGGGAAATTTCCCCTTCTAATAAAAGGGAAAGTTGGCCCATTCGGGTTAGAGTCCTCAGAGGCTAAATTTAGGAAGCGGAGCTTGGAACTCAGATCACCAACTTCAGTCCAGCCTCTGGTATTTCTGTGGCCACAGTTTTCCTGCTTAGATACCAATGGGTGAGCACACACATGAGGAGAAATTCTAGTTTGGGTCAGCCATTCATGGTGTTCAACAATGCTAGAATTAATGCCTGATTTTTTGCAGATTACACTGAATACATGAACAGACACTCAGACTATTGGAACAATGTTGATGTTGCTGTCTGGTCACAACCATATTCAACAAAAAATATGGATATTCAAAATTCTGAAGACAATTTTGAAGGTGACAAGAACTTCAGGGACCTTTCTCCACTGCACAAGGTACCAGGGACACTGACATTCTGTGCCAGGGATTATGTAACTTTGACCACTTGCCAAAGGGAGGTCAGATCTATAATTTAGTTGTGTTTCTGAGGTTCCCTTTTGTACAAGGATGCCACAGCTACCCCTCCTAAGCTACCCTACTCTTTCCTACTTCACTGAAGTGGATATCAGACCCTTTCATAGTAAAAAAGTGATCTCAGACCTACTCAGTTTGCCCAAGGGAGGCTTAAACATTAATATTACGAACAGGCCCTCACTCATTCTTACCAAATGAACTTCAGACTTTCCCCTCTCACTAAAGGAACTCCAGATCAAGGACACTAATCCACTGGGTGTGAAAAAGGAAGCATAAGACTATCATACTTTGCTCAAGAGACTGTGTAGGGTCTACTTCCTTTGACCAAGGGGGCTTCAGACATTGCATTTCTGCCTAGGATAGAAATGGAACAAGTCTTTGTGAGGAAATGGTTTTCAAAAGGGAGCCTTGCTACCAAGGGGGAAGTGAACCTTTACCTTGTGCTCAATAGGGCTATAAGAAGACACTCTTCAACTGCTGGACCTTAGAGCTTCCCCTTCTGACCACGGTGACCTCATAACTGCCATTCTTACTAAGAAGACCTTAGAGATTCCCTCTCTGACCAAAGTTTCAGGGAAATATTTTTGCAACCAATGTGTCCTCAGAACACTCTGCTTTTACCTCATAGGGAAGATGATGCCAAACTAAAAGCATAACTCAGGCCCTGTGCCTTTATCCTGGTCAACAGAAATGGAATGTTCCCATCATTTGCTTTCAGACCTGCTCATCTGAACACAGCCTTGAGGGATCATCAAAATACCCTGACTGCTGCCTGGACTCCTGAAGATTCTACTGGGTAATTGTAAGTGGGAAAAATATTTGAAAGCTAATGAGGCAATTCTGGAGACCTATTCAACTCCCCAAGGTTAACTGGACCTTCATCTTCTGCCCAAGAGAAAACTGGATTTTCCAGTTCTGCCAATCCTGGCCAGGGACTCTTCCTCCCTGAATAAGGTAGTTCAGAATGTCTCCCTTTGCCAAATAAGCCTCAGAAGATGTCTTTCAGACAGACCGTATCAGAACTCTTCTCTTCCCTAGACAACTCCCATTCTTTTTTAAAGAAAGAATTCATCAGAACTAATTCAATGTCATAGTGAGGGTCAATCCTTCCTCTCTTAACAATGTGGCCTTGGACATTATCCTCTGACCAAAAAAGCATAAGAACTACTGTCTTTGACCTAGGGAATTCTGACATTTTCTATGTGTCTTATGTGGTACTAAATGTTCCCTTTTGAATAAGAAGGCATCATGCCTGTACTCATTGTCCTTTGGATTTCCAGAGCATCCCTTTATTTACATGGAAACCACAGATCTACCACTAGCTGACAGAACCTTAAACATTCTTACTCACTGGGAGCTGGAGTCGTGAAATAGGAGACTAGACAAATATTCCTAAGGTAAAGGAACCTTAGACTACTCTGGTGTGAGGTCCCAGAGCAAGGAACTCACATAATCTGCCCTTAAGCTTGTCACAGGAAATAGTGAGGACACACCCTATGTGCCAACACCTGTGTAGCTTGAGGAGGTCACCAAGACAGATACAGTTAACCAGCATGTCAGAAAAATGGTCAGATTCCTTCAAGAACTTCATGGAGTTTCCAATGTAGGACTGTTTTAGACTTTGATGAAGAGCTGGTATCTGAGGAGGAAAAGCCCTGTCCAGGAGGCCTCATGTTCCTCCACTGCACAAGGTACATGCTACATTTATTTACCTACCACTCAAGTGGGTTTGGAATCTTCTTCCCTCTCCCTAATCTTTCTATTACTTTTCACTCTCTGAAGCCTGGGGCAAGAGACTTTCTCCTCCTGCTCAAGATTTCATATCTAACAGAGCTGACCCAAGTGTGGGTAGGGTTCAGGACTTCCCCTGAGGAAAACTACTCAGGAGAATTCCCCCTTAACACCAAGGTGGTCCACTGTGGTTAGAGTTCTCAGAATACAATACTAGAAGGTGAAGGGATTCCAGGCCACTGCCTTCAGGCTAGACATCAGAAGTGGTATGATGTCGTCCTCCTGCACAGATTTGTTTGGCTGAGCACAACCCTGAAGAGGCAGTCTAGCATGGGAGGGCCACACATGCTGGTTACAAATACTAATATTGCTGTCTGGTTTGTTGAAGGTTCCACTGAAGACATCTTAAACTGATGGATATATTACACTGTGACAGATCATTGGAAGCTGTTGAAGAAATGTTTAAGCCTCACAGCAGAGAAGACAGTATGGTAGACAAGTCAACTTGTCCTCTACGTGGTATGGGATCCCCTGCCACATACTCCACCCCCATGCATCAAGGGAGTACAGGTCTTAGCATTTGTCCAAGATGGTATCTGATTTTCCCTGCTGACTCTGCACACTCACCAAGAGAGGATGATAAATACGTGTTTTGAACAATGGGGATATAGATCCACACTAGCTGGATTTCCTTGAGCCACAGAGTAACAAGCAAAGCATAGGACACATGTCATCTATGTTCAATTCAGTCACCAGAAAAGGTGTGACTCTATTATTCCTTCCTAGATCTGGGCATTTTAACACAAACTACTAGAGATGACAGTCGTCCAAGCTGAGTACTAAGATTGTACCCAACGACTGATGACTGTAAGCAAAATATGGATGAGATACACTGTAAAATATACTTGAAGCAATATTCAGTAATGAGATCTTCCTTCACAGAAGAAGGTAAGGGGGACAGTCACCTGCCCAAGGAATTCTGGAATGGTCCTACCATATCTGCTCTGCCTAAGATATTCTTCCTCCCAAGAATGTGGCCTTGACCATCACCTTCCGCCCAATAGGGTCTTACACATACCTCTTCTGATCAATTATGCTTAGTATAATCTTCTGATCAAGAAAACATTCCTCCATTCTTCTTTGAAGTCCAGGAGCCAGAGAGAAATGAATAGAACCTGTTCACCAAGCCATCTGCGTTCAATCCTGTCACACTAAATGAACGTTCACCATTATTTCTACCCAGGTCCAGAACACTGAAGACAAACCAGAGGAGAAGACCAGGACATGAATGGAAATCCAGGCTGTTTTAAAAAGGCTGAGGTTGCTGCTTGGTCTCTACCGGATTCAAAACAACCTATGGATATTTAAAATCATGAAGACTTTGAAGCTGATGAGCAGTGCTAGGACTTTCTCTACTTCCCAAGGTACCAGGGACATTCACCTTCTAACCAAGGGTAGATGGGATTTTCCCCATTTGTCCAAGGGATTGAGGCCTTCATCTTTGCCCAGTAGGGTCCCTGTGACTGTCTCTCTCACAAGGGTGCCAGAGCTCCAACTCCTGGGTTATTTTACTACTTTCCACTTCATTGAAAGGGATGTCTGAGGTCCCAAAGACAAGGGCTGTTTCAGTCCTTCTTGGATTCCCCAAGGGAAACTTAGATATTAATATTGTGTGAAAAGGCCCTCACTTTCTTACTAAATGGACTTCAGATGTTTTCCTCACTAAAGGAAGCAGCACAGGGGAATAACCCATCCAGTCTGCATAAGAGAGCATAAGACCCTCCCACGTTGCCTAAGGTGTGTGTATGATCTACTGCCTTTGACAACGGAATACATACATTCTTTTTCTGATTAAGTGCAAGTGGAACATGACAATCCTATGAAACCAAAGTCAAAATTGGACCCTGTGGCCAAGGTCATAGGGGAGGGCGACCTTCACAAACTGTCGAAGGGCTTCAAGTATACCCTGTGACCATGAAACCATAGAGCTTCCTGCCCCCTTGTCCATAAAGACCCCACACTATCCTACTTGCTAAGATGGATTAGAGCTTCCTCTTCTCTTCAAAGTGCCAGGCAAACACGTTTCCAGCCAGTGTGACCTTAGAACACTGCACTCAGTAGAACGCTCAGAACACTTAGATCCTGGTGAAGGTGATACCAAGCTGAAACCTGAAATCAGGCCATCTGCCTTGAAGCTGGTCAACAGAAATGGCATGTCTCTGTCTTTCATTCCCAGACCTACTCAGCTGAACCCAAACTTGCAGAGTCACCAAATCTCAGGTCCCTCCCTCAGCCTGGTCACAAGTTCTCTGACTGCTTCCCAGGCTCCAGAAGGTGCAACTCGAGGTATGGTATCTGTAAATGGGGTGAAAGGTGGAAGCTAATGAGACTGTTCTGGAATCTTCTTCACTATCCAAGGTAACATGGGTTCTTCAAGGAAAACTGGATTATTTCATTTGTCAAAATGGCCAGGCAATTTTGCTGTAAGGAAGTTCAGAACTTTACCTTTTCCCAAAAGAACGGCACGTTGGTTTTGTAACTCAGATCACTGCCTTACTCCTGTTTCCTTCAATATCTATGTTCTATCCTATATGCCCAGACCTGTTAAGATGAACATACTCTGGAGGAGGACACTGAGCCAAAGACTGCCATGGAGTCTCTGAGAAGAACTTTAAGACTGTTGCCATGCCGACTATGGACTCATTGATATACACATATTCTAGACTGTGACTCAGAGCTGGAAGCTGATGAGTGAGTACAGAAACTTCCTCCAGTGTAAAAAAGTGCCTAGGGCCTTCATTTTCTGTCTAGAGGCGACTAGAACTGTCATGATCCTATCCAACTAACCTGAGATCACCCGCTCTGATAAATATGATCTCACACATTGCCCTTCTTCCCAAGGAGTCCTAGATATAGCTTCTCTGACCACAGGACCTTGTGTCATTCCCCTTTATCAAAGAGAACATCAGCTATGCCCTGTCTCACCAAAGGATGACAAATATGCATCCTGTCTAGACAGTGTCAGATTATATGACATATGACCTATGACATATGTACACTTCTGCCCAAAGGGGACTGAGAACTTCCACTTCTACTCAGATATCTGACCAAAGAGGCTGAGAGGTTTCTAATTAACCTATGTAGGTTTCAGACCTACTTCTCCCACTTCTCCCTTAGAGGGCAGTGAATGGATGACTCTCCTGAAGGGACATTAGTCATTCCCGTTAAACCTCTTATGACCATTAACTTTGCCCAATTGTGCCACAAATGTTCCCATTTTTCCAAAGAGGCATCAGAGTGCCTGTTCTAAGAGGGCAATGGTCCTTACTCAAAGTGCAAAGTGTCTAACACCTTCCCATTATGCCCAAGTGTGCAACAGATTTAGTAGCTCTGTGTAATGGGAGTCTCAAAACTTCCTAATTTGGTAAAGGGTCCTCCAAACTCTTACCACTCACTTACCAAGGGGTCTTCTGGGTATTTTCGATGCCCAAATGTTCTTTGGCTGTGCCCTTCTAACCAAAACAGTTTTCACATATTCCTCCCCTGATTAAGGGGGCTTCAATCCATATCTGGAAGACCTAGAATATTTTCATTCATCCCATAAGGACTTAGGATCCCTGTGGCTCAAAATACCAAACCCAAGTGTAGCTTTCAGAGCCTCAAACCCAATCCACCAACTTTCAGGCAGTCACCAAAATGTGTGGACCTCTCCTTCATTTATAGACAGGAGCAGTGGAACACAAGCCTGAGGAGGTGTCCTAGCTTGGGATAGACATCCAGACTCTTGAAAGAAGATTTACACTGCTGTCTAGGCTGCTACACATTCACTGCAATGCATGGACATTCTAGTTGCTGCTGAAAAGTTGAAAGGTGAGGAGGCAGTGCCTAGAACACCCTCCACTGCACAGGGTGGGTTGGGTATCTCATTTTGTGTCCAAGGGGCAAGGTCTGGAACTTTACCCCAATAGATAGGGAATTTTCCCTCTATGATGTCAGAGGCCCTAGACATTCCCATCGGAACCTGGAGCTTCAGATGTTTTTCATAGGGTATTTGGTCTCTGTACTTTCTCCATATCTTGAGGCGCGCCACTGACCTTTCCCTCTTACCTATGGATCTACTTATTGGCCTCTCTATGGTGGATACAGACATCCAAATTTTTTATGTAGGGAGCTTCAACATGCCCCTCTGACCAAGAGTGTCTCAGAAATATACCCCCTAACTATTGGGGCTTTTGAATTGCCCCTCTGCCTAAAGTGAACTTAATCCTACCCCATTTGGGGTGATTGCATAATACCATCTCCATCAAAGATGGCCTCATCTGACTAAGGGAGAATCAGAAAATTGCCCAATGCCCAAGAGGCCCCACACCTACCCACTATGACCAAAGGGACCTGGGAGAGTCTCCTTCTCACCAAGGTAACATGGATTCACTCTTGTTTTGAACCTCCAGAAGCCCAGAGTAGCATGCAGAGTCCGGACTGTGAGTCATCTACCTTCAATCCAGTCATCAGTATTGGAGTATTCCCATCCTATGTGCCCAGACCAGGACAGCAGAATACAACCTCGAGGAGGCCTCAAAGCCAGGGACAGCCACCCAGGCTGTTGGAACAGTGTTCAGACTCCTGCCTGAACTGACAATGCCACAGATGATACAGATATTCTTTTGTTAATTTTTTGCTGTTGTTGTTGTTATGGTTTCAGTGTAGAAAAGAATACCTGTGTTTTTCTTGTTATGTTAATCATCTCCTGGCATTGCAAATCAGCAACCAGTTCTTGAAGTTTGACATTTTCTACTGTATTTGGAAACTTACTTTATACGCATACTCTTACTGTCTTTTCACAGCGAAATCACGATGTAATTCAGTTTTACAAATGCAAATAGTTCAACCAAAGTTGCGCTCAGATAAATAAATATATTTTAAATGCAGAACTGCGTTTGTTGTGATGTCTTAGGTTTTCATCCAGATGTCAAAAATTCTTTTGACATAAAGGTCCATCTTGAGTGTCGAAACAGGAATGTGAAAGATGTGTCTTAGAACTAAGGTTGCATGGTGATTCCATGAATGCATTTAGCAGCATTACCATCTAGTGGCTTAGGCGTCTCAATCAGTATTAATAACTGAATAACATTAATAGTTGAAACAACAGCATATGTAGGAAGAGTTCCATATTTAAATCCCTGATGGTAGCCAGAAATAGCAGAATAGTTAACTCTAATCTATGAACCACTAATGGACATAGGGCCTCCTGGGCTCGCCCTAGCCTGGGGAGTTTCTGCTCCCTCATGAGGACCACCTTCATTCAACTGCCGCTGAGCTTGTGGCTTGGGCTGTCCTTGGGCAGCCCCCATGAGTAGCATCCTTCTGCAGCTGCCCATGAGGGTGATGGCCCATAAGCTCTGTGCAGTGGAAGAACTGACCAGGTTGGCCTGCAAAATTGTGCAGCTACCACAGTGACTTGGGGGGGCTGGAGACAGACCTGCTACTCTGGTGTAAGGGAGAGCACACCAACTGGGTGGACGCAGGAGAGTCCACCTGCCACCAAGGATAAGCCCGTTCTGATTCCTGTAGAACTCGAGGGACCATAGAAGGAAGTGCAGGGCTCCCAGTAACGGTGCATGGCCCTCACGGTGGTACCCACCTGTTGGGACCAGTGCTGAATCAGGGTTCTAGTCTCGAAGGCTCATGCTTGTGCAGAAGCTCGTGGGTTAGGAGAGCTGAGTGCTCCTGCCACTGTGAGATTCTAAGTTGGTCAGACTGAAAATTGGGTTCATTGATTTCCCTAGCAATTCAAAAGGAGTAATAAATACTGCAAATGAATGTAGTGGTAAAACTAAGTGCAAGGGATTGCTTTTTAATGTTTAATAATTTATTATCTGTTGCATATTTGGGCACGATGGATGTATGTATAGATGCCTATGTTCATGTATGCAGACCAGAGGCCAAGTGTGAAGTCCACGTATTCTTCAACCTCTACATAGGATCAGGGATCAGATTTAGGTCAGGGATTGAATTCCATTTGCCAGTTTCGGAGCAAGACCCTTTAACCACCAAGGGATCCTGCAGGATGGACTCTTGAAGGGGGCATGGAACTCATAGGATTGGCGGGAACACATTGAGCAAGGTTATTATATGCATATTCTGTACTTCCAAGAAGACTTGGAAGCTAATGAGACCTGGTCTGGCCCTGCCATCACTGCAAAGGTGGCCTGAGACCTTCATCTTTTGCCCAAGGTAGTAGGGAACTTTGTCCACCACAGTCAGGATTCTCCTCTATTATGAAGGAAGTTGGGCCTAATTCTTCCCCCACAGGAGCTCGGAATTTTACCATCTGACAGGGAGATGTCAACGTTTCCCACCATTTCCAAGGAACCTCACACAGTGCCCCTTTGCTGAAAGGGACCTCAGACTTTCCCTCTGTGTCTAGTGCGGCCTCAGACCTATACCCTCTAAACCCCTGGCATACAACCGCCACACAAGGGGTGCTCAGATACTTCCCTAATGTGAAGGACCTCTCACACATTACCCCATCCCCCAAAGCACATTAAAACTCCCACATGTGACCAGATGGTGAGAGTCAGCTGCTTCCTTATTCTTAAATGAGAGTTATGATTTTCTCCTGGTTTTAAGAGTAAGGTATGAGGCCCCTCAGGGAGGAATAAGAAGTTGTGAAATGTCATTTTCTACAAGTAAAATCTCCGAATTCCTGTGTCAGAAGGGAAGTTCTCAGGCTCCTCTTACTCTGCCAGCCCACATGGGAATTTTCCCTTCTCTAATTAAGTGGGCTTCGGACTTCATCCTTGCCCAAGGGGACCTCAGACATTCCCCTTCTGCTAATTGGGGCCTCGATGTTGTCTCATCTACTCAAGAAACTTGTGACCTTCCCCACAGCCAAGGTCGACTTGAGACCTTCCCCTTGTACCTAATGATGATTCAAACATATTCTAGTTAAAAGGGCCTTGATCTTTCCCTTCTCACCAAGGAAACTACAGATCTGCACACTCTGATCAGACGTACCCCATAATTTCCCCCATCTAACCTATGCGGTCTTAAATATGCCCACTCTGACCAAAGAGGTCTCAGATCTAACTTGGTCAACCTACTATGCGCATCTTCCCTTCTGACAAAGAGGGCACATAGCACGCACATTCTGACCACTGTGGGGCCATACACTTAGTGCTTATTTCAGTACACCTCAGGCTTTACTCCTATGAAGAAACGAGCCTCATACCAACTCCTATTGCCCAATGGGACCCAAAACATGGTGCCTCTAACTTGGGGCATCACAAGTTTTCCCTCACCAAGTATCATCAAACCTTCCTCTTCTGCCAAGGTAGCTTCAAAAGTGCATCTCTAACTAAATGGACTTATAATATCCCTCCTGCCCAGGGAGTTGTCAGCCATATTCCATCTCACTATGGAGCCCTGAAATCATCCTTAATGGTCCAACATAACATGGGAAACTCAAAATCCACACAAGAGGGCGTGGCACATTAAATCTCTACTCAAGGTTCCTAACATGTGCCTTGTTCCAAAGGGAGATAAGTGCCTTCTGTATTTGATAGATGATAGAT